TGATGCTAATTGCAGTTTTATCGTCTATATCACATTTAAGAGGTGTACAATTCCCACTTCAAATCTACGCCATTGGGAAAAGATCTAGATTCTGGGCTAGTGCATGCAGAACTCACGTTTGTGCTGATGTAACTGAGACCAGCATCAGATATCCATGCACTCACTGAGGTTCATATGGCATGGTATCTAGTGTAGTTGGCACTCTCAGCGCTCTGTATAATCCTGTAGTCACAGTTGAAGCTCGCTTTTCTACTACTAGACACCGTAGCAGCCCCAGTTGAATAATATGAGTACATGGGATAATGTACATGTCATGAATGGGGCCAGCCCAGTGGCTTGTGCCTTTTCAATGAACTTCATGGATATGCCCTAACATGATGTTTTAAGATGCACACACTCATTTTTCAATCTATTTGAATTCATGCTGAAATAATGGAAGAACTTAGCTGTGATTTATGGCTCAAATATATGCTCATGCTTTATAATAACTGGTTAGCACGAGATGATGATGAAATGGATATAAAATGATATCTGTAGTACAATTATTGCTATCATTGAATGCAAAATGTAACAAAAATCCCATGGTACGTTTTTGACATAAAATCTATTATATCAGCCATCTGGGTGACTGGCATAAGTGCCACAGCTTAATGATATTCCATTAGGAAGGCAATGGGTCATTAAATAGAATAAAAGGTCATTTTTTCCCCCTAACCTTTAACCTTCCTTATGTTCAAGGATACAATGTTGGTTCTTTTTAACTTTCTCCCCTCCACGTTGAATGAATGTAAGAATTTCGTTCGTAGAATAGTTGAAATATTCCTGGTCTTGATTTTCTATCTGGATTAATTTTCTAAATGTCCACAATATAAATGCTGGGTGTCCACTCATATTAATTGTTCTTTATTAAATAGATTGTAATTGACATGTTTATACCTGTTGAGAACCATTCATTTCATGTCTAACTACGGATTAATGTTGCTTAACAATGGAAATTTCAAATAAGGTCGATAATAAAATAAAGATGTACATTTATATAACCACTTTACATTAAAGAGAGGTTGTGCCAAAGTGCTTTACATTCAATTAAGTACTTTTGAAGGGTAGACATTATATTAATACAGGAACATAGTAAACAACTTAATCACAGCATGCTCCCACAAACAGCAATGCAATAATGAGCATATAATCTGTTCAAGTGTTTTCTGTTAAGTGTCAAGTCTGTTGAATATTGGCGAAGAGATTGGGTAAAACTCCCATGTTCTTTTCCAAATGTCACTGCAGGATCTTTTAGACCCATGTATTGTGTTAATATCTAATCCAAAAGACAGCACCTCCGACACTGCAGCATTCCCTCGATATTGTCCTGAACTGTCAACGTAGATTTGAACCCAGCACCCTCTGACCCACAGCGCAAAATAACAAGGTTTAAACCTTTCTTGCCTGGCATTTGAGCCAGATTGATGGTCGTTCAGACCCTGAGTGAAATGACATTTTTGCACTTGCCTTGTGAATTGCACCATTTTCTCTGTTTTAACTGCTTCGAGCACCCTTGATCTCTGTTGGGTAACACACACCCAATTATGAGAGGGCAAACACAGATGATCAGTCTTCTTCGTTTACTTCAATGGAACACGAAGACTAACATCTGACAACAGATGCCTCTGCTCACACCGTTATAGGTCTACCAGCGTCACCAGTTCATTCTAAATCCTGGTGTCAATATTTGAGGGGGAACTGAATTGTCTCTGCTTAGCTACATTCAGTTAGTGGAAGAGTGCGTCAAGCAGCTTGCATTTATCTAGTATCTTTCACATCCTCTACTGTGAGTGAGGTGCTTTTGAAGTGGGATTGTTCTAATGTAGCTGTGTGAATTCACCAATCTTGAGCTGTTATAAGTGCAATTCTGATTTAATTAAGGGATAGTATTGGAAATGATAAAAAGACCCAAGAGATCTTCCAGTGCAACAAAGACGTTTAACTGTAAGAACCCCCAAACCTGGGATGTCAAAGCTAAGATGGTTTGGGGACCTATTCCCATCGGAACAGCAAAAGTAAATATGCTACTGAATAATTCCCATCATTTGCAGCTTGTGTTTTATTATTTATAATTGTTTCATATGTTAATGAGTTGCCATGGTGATGTAAATTTTCTTTCAGGAAGCATTTGCTTCAGCTTTTCAGTGAGCTTGATTCAAGTACTTTTCATTTATGTCTGAAATGTAAATAAACAGTGACCATTCAGTAAACTGGGTTTAGGGTCTTGGCCTTTGCTGATAGATAAGAAAAAGAGCTGGCAATGGCTTGCTACATTTTCTTTTCTGTTTTCCATCTCTTTTCTCTTCCTGCTCCCCTCTTTTCTTCACATCTTTTCCTTATGGAGGAACAGATTCTTGCTGGGTATGGCTCCATTGGTGTCAATGCTGAGAGTGGCAATCCTTCATGCGTGAGTCCAAGCAGTGAATGTTGGCCGGTTATTCAGCCACGTGGGCATCACTTCTACAAAATAATCTTTTCCTAACTGTTTGCAAGGATGTTGGTGAGGATAGTTTGGAGGTGTTCAAAAATTGTGACTGATTTTCCAAGGGTTACTGTGACCATTGCAGCGCTCCAGCTGAGGTCAATAATGCAGCGTAGAGCAGTGTTTGTTACCTGCCCTGAGATTGTTTGTTGGGGACAGTGTTGAGGGAGCTTTACTCTATACCGAGCCCCATGCAGTCCTTGTCCTAGGAGTATTTAGAACATAGAACATAGAATCCCTACAGTGTGGAAACAGGCCTTTCGGCCCAACAAGTCCACACCGACCTTTGAAGCGTCCCACCCAGACCCATCCCCCTATAACCCACCTAAGCTACACATCCCTGAACACTACGGGCAATTTAGCATGGCCAATCCACCTAACCTGCACATCTTTGGACTGTGGAGGGAAACCAGAGCACCCGGAGGAAACCCACGCAGACACGGGGAGAATGTGCAAACTCCACACAGACAGTCGGGAACAGTGGCGAGGAAGCTTTGCTCTGTATTGAATCCCATGCTGTCTGTGTCCTGTGAGTATTTAATGGGGATTGTCTCAAGGAAGCTTTGCTCTGTATCGAATCCCAAGCTGTCCTTGTCCTGGGAGTGTTTGGTGAGGAAGTGTAGAGGGTTTTATTTTGAGTCAAAAAGAGTAGAGCAATGTTTGAACATGGGACTCTTCCCATGCCTGGGGCTTGCATAAGTCCAGTTGGTGGTTAGCAGCAAATCTCAGAAGATGACCTGATGGTTACTCGTGGCTCATCATGTGGGGTGGAATTTACGCCCCCTCCGTTGCTTGGTGGGGGTGTGGCAGTTAGGTGGGTGGGAAGTTGATAGGTGGGGACCCCTCCAGTCAGGGGCAGGAATGCCAGTGTGAACATTATCTCTCTCTCTGTTTCCCCCCACCGCCATCCCCGTTATTGATCAGTTAAGTGCTTCATCTCTGGAATTAACCCCATAGTGATTGAACAGCTTCTCATGTTGGGGAGGCATGACAAGTAGACCTTGTTGCGTTTGCTCATAATCTTCAGGCATGAGGATGCTTTTCACTGAAAGGCACACAGTGCCTGATCGAGTGATCCAGCATTAAGAAGGAGGGCCCATCGCGAGTCAACCACCTCCCCAATCCTTCCTCTGATTCTCCCTTCACTCATCAGCCCTATCCCACCATCCCATTCCTACCAACCTCATTTCCTTCCTCAATGATGGATGTAATTCCAGCAATGGCTATTGCCCTCCCTATTTGGGCACAGCAGAGCTGCCAACCTTGCACTACTCAGCAGTTCTCAATGGCTGAGATCTTTGTCTCCACCCCAGCCTCTTTGATCCTACTGGAAGGCCCAGCCATTAACCTGTTTAATGTCTGAGTGGCACTCCATTTGCTGGCCTTCCCAACGGAGGTAATGTCAGTAAATCAGCTACAGGGCAGGTCCCTGTCGCCTCCCATTAAATCCAACCCCTGCTTTTCCCAGTACGTCCATGCTTGGATATACATGCAACGTTTCTGTAGCGCCTCTCACCGTTTGGGGTGCCCCTAAAGTGATTTGCTGCCAGTTTTTAAGTGTGGTCATTTGTGATGTAGAAATCACAGCAATCAATTGACACGCAACCACTTGCACAAGCTGCAGTAAGAGAAATGGCCAGATAATCTGTTAAAATGATGCTGTTGACCTGGACCTTAGCAAAAATGATCCAGATCGGTTTTGAGGAGTTCCATGGGGTCTTTTTTTCAAACAATCACATGAAAAGGCAGACAGAGCCTGAGTTGAATGTCTTGCTGACTGATGGTACAGCATTAGCCTGGTATGACACCAACAGCCCACAACCTTCTGCTTCAAAGGTGCTCACTGATTCACTGCTGTTTGCCCACGGAACTGTCCTCAGTGTCTTGATGAGGTAGAAAACTGTTGTTCCCATTCCTGATCATTAGCTGGTTACCTCTGCTGGAGAGTGTGCGGTTGAGATAAGGTCAGTGAGCTTGGCCTGCAGTTCCATTAATTACATTGCTAATATTTGCCGTCTAGACTCTAATGTGAAGCATAACCACTTGACTAAGGTACTGTTTGACTGCCAGTGCTCTAGGTCACCAGTTGCCTTTGCAGTCGAAAAATAATTTCGAGGTTTGATGTTCACTGTTCAGAACAAATGTTGGTAGTTGAGTTTTTTTAAAATGTACCCATCCAGAGGTTAGAAAGGAACTATGTGACATGACTGCTTTGACAGTGTCCATTACATCTATAAATGTTCTTCCACAGAGGTCTGTCTGATGTTCATTGTAAAGACACACTGGAGAAAACAATGAACCATAAAATGATCTATAAATTCACAGGGAATGATGTAAATCAATGTCTTGCTTTGGGCTAAGTGTTGAAATTTCTCCTACTTGAGTCCTCTCTGCAGTGCGAGTCCCATGTTGCAGCTTGCAGTTCTTTGGTTACATTGACTCGATTGTAATGGCTTGCTGTTTATCTTTTTGTTTCCAGATAGACCTGTGATTAAGTTCACTCCTGCCCCTGCAACATCACAGGATGGTAAGTGAGCACTTTATTTGATATGCAAAGGAACAACTTTGCAAATCGCAGGTGAAAGAAATTTAAATGAGTGTTTTGCTCAGATACACTGTTTGAACTTTGTTTGCCTGAATTTTAAGAATAACTATGAACTTGTAATCATGCAAAAATGGAAATGATTCACAGAATGTGGCCTTCAAAGTATTGTGAAAAGCCTTGGAGCTCCTCGTAATAAGCTGAATTGCTCAGTTTCAGGAATACGTTAAACCTGAATATCTCCGATCCTGTATTTTAAATAATCTGAAATCTATCATCACTCCCCTTGGTACACAGACATTACAGGTGCAAGTCAGTACTGGCCATGGGATTTGGGGTAAAGGCTGGCTTGGCCATTGTGTAGTTCCGGAATCATTAGCACTCGAAACCAACTTGTTTTTTACGTAACAAAAACAAAGTTGCTAGAAAAGCTCAGCAGGTCTGGCAGTATCTGTGAAGACAAAAACAAGAGTTAACGTTTCGGGTCCAGCGACCCTTCCTCAGAATTTTATTCCTGATTTACAGCATCCACAGTTCTTTTGATTTTAATTTAGTATTTAACTCACTGCCACATCTCTGCTAGGCATGCCGCGCTGAGGAAGGGTCATTGGACCCGAAACATTAACTCTGTTTTTTTCCTTCACAGACGCTGCCAGATCTGCTGAGCTTTTCCAGCAACTTCTGTTTTTGTTCCTGATTTACAACTTCCGCAGTTCTTTCTAACGTGTTTAATATGATGCAACATCCAAGGCACTATCCAACAGCATTTGACATTGAACCACAACAGAGAGACTTAGAAATACATGGCCAAAGGCATGGTGAAAGAGTTCATTTCCTTTTAAGATTTTCGAGGAGAGTATGGAGAGGCACAAAATGCCAAGATATAAATTCTATCCTAAAATGAAACAAATAACTATGGATGCTGGAGATTTGGAACAAACAAAAACAGAAATTTGCTGAAGAAGTTCGGCAGGTCCAGTAGCATCTCTGGAGAGAAAACAAGAGTTACCGCTTTAACTCCAGTGACCCATCTTCAGAACAGTTCTGCTGAGTTTTGACAGCAAATTCTGTTTTTGTTTGTAAGTTCTGTGCAACTGAATGTTGGCCATATTTGAAGCCCATCAGCCAGCCCCCACCCTGGATCATTTTTAATAAATATATTCTGACACGGTGAAGCTTCTTCAGCCATCAGAAGAAAAGTACGTCAAACATTGAGGCCGGTGTTCGATCTCCCAAGCATCTAGATGACAGGAAAGTTTAAACCTTCATTCTGTTCCACAAGCTGCTATTTCTGAAAAAGACCACAGGCATAACAACATGAAAGGTAGCTGCAACAGTACCTCAACCTATCACCGATGAGAAAATCACAGTCAATCTCAAACACTAGTTTATGTTCTATGTTAATTTCAGACACCTACTTAGAACAATCTTAACTTTAAACATCACACTGTTGTGATACTGTTCCTCTGGCATATTATTAGGCAAATTAAAATGTTGTTTTGCCACCCAAAGCAATTATTAGCAATATTGGCACTTGGCCAGTTCAGTTTCTCTGCACATTTTCTTTCCTGTTTCATTTATTTCGGCAATGTGACAGAAGGGTGCCTTTTTATTTTGTTTGTTGTAATTATTAAAAGATTAAGATAAGTTAGCCCGCCATTATAAATAAATCACAGCTGTGACATTACTTGAGCATTGTTTCTGGTCTACTACTGTGCGACACCAAATTTAATAATTAATGTTGATAATGCAGTTTTTAGCTAATTGGATCCAAGAAACCTTTCATGTGTATGGAGGATTTTGTTTGGCTGTTTACTGTATCAGGAACTTAAAGAATGTCAAGATTGGTGATGGACTTAGCTTTCTTCCCTGTTGAAAATTTTGTGCTCATCTGCTTTGAGATTTTCTTGTAAATAGTGAAACAAAGGACTAACTGGGATCAAAATAAATAGAACCTGTTTTTTTGAAGTTGAATTGCAAGCTCTACAAAGCATCTAGACTTTGTTTTTCTATACAAAGGATATGCTAGAAAATGAAAAGCAAAAGAAAGTGCTTTGATGGTGAGGAATTTTTTGTGGGAGGTGGAAGATTGCAGAAGAAGATAGCAGTTGAATGTCTCCAACATTTTATTAAAATTCTTCTTCTTCCTCCCAAGTTATCTTGTTGTTCCGCTCTTCATCATATGCACCAAATCCATCCCTCTGCTACATCCCAACGATTTAGATTGGAGGCAGAATGTTGTGGGTCCCAATCTCCCCTTGCTGACAGGTTTATGGGGAATGGCTTTGACTTCCCCATGGAACCTTTCTGCTGCCTTCCTGCCCCCACACCCCAACCTGTCTGTAATGTTGCAGGGAGTGGGCAAGACCTACTGCTTCTCACGCACCCTCGCCACTTTTGAGGCGTTTTAAATGGCAACGTTTTTGACCACTCGGAGACTTCATGTTTGAAGCAGAGGTTTCAGGCTAGTGCTGGCAGATCCCCTTACCCCAAGCAAGGTTATGTTGCCTCCCTCGAGGGCCATCTTTGTGGCTTTGAGCACGACCCCCACGCCCAGTTCGCCCCTCCGAGGCCTATCCTCCATGTTTACTACCCAGTCCCACCCCGGTCTCTGCATCAAAATTGACACCACCCCCCCCCCCCTTCCCAACACGCTGCCCCCCCCCCAACTCTTGCCTTCCCTCTAGGGACTCCCACCCAAGCACTGACCCTCTCCTAGGCTCTGGGGACCCTTGTACCAGTCCTGTCCATTGTGTCTCCTGGCACTGGTCAGTCAGAGACAGGACATGCGCACAAGTCAATGGCAAAAGTACCATCCTTCATGCCAGTTGACCCTCCACAGGCTGTTAAATGGCAGCGGGATTGCTGTGATCAACAGAGGGCCAACGTTCCTGAGTTTTCGGGTGGTGGAGCAGGGTATCCCCAACCCCGAGCCTTCCATCATCTGACAAGTCCTGTCCCTCTGCTCCTTATGTCTTTGCAGTGAGAGAAAGACATTAACTTCTTTCCTGTCCTTGTGGACACTAGACATTGCCAAAGCGCTTTATTCAACGGGCCTTGTTGCATTTGTGAAACATAATTTCAGCACATTTTGTTAAATCTGAGCCCATCAGTAGCTCTCTCTGAAACCCAAGCACCAGGCTCAAGACTGTTTTGATTGATGGGGGTACAGACCATCACCAGTCATCAGTGTGCACTCTGATTTCAGCTGTAACACTGTGAGCGTCAAGTGGAGGCGAAACATGTTCCCCATGGGGGAGGGGAAAAAAAGCACATCCAAGCAGCTGTCTTTTTTAATAGGCTCCTCTTGCTTGCTGTGCAGCTGGCACCTAACAGCAGACACTCACTGCCTTCTGGTGATGACCTGGAATCAGACCAAAAATGAAAGACCTGCATTTCTGTCGCGCCTTTCACAACTATCGGATGTCTCAAAGTGCTGTACAGCTGATGCGGTAGTTTTAAAGTGCAGTCGCTGCTGTGAAATCGGAAACGTGGCAGCCAATGCAAGCCCCCACAAGCAGCGTCATGGTGTTGAACAGGTTGATTTGAGGGTTACGTGTTAGCCTAGGCCGTGGGGATAACACCACTTCTATTCATTGAACAAGCTCCCGTGAAATCTTTTATAATCCCCCCACCTTCCCCCTGAGGAGGCAGATGGGATCTCATTTTAACTTTCTGACCAAAGGATGCAGTACGCCCTCGGTAGCTCATCAGAGGGTTCGCCTTGATCTTTGTGCTCTGGCTCCAGGGTGGGGCTTGAACCCAGAACGTGGTTTCAAAGTGAGAGCACTGTGTGCTGGCACTGGGGGAAACCATGGTAGTGCTTAGCCCAGACACGCCTTGGATGGAAGACCAAAGGCTGGAATTTGGGATGCCAAAGGTCACAAGTCAATAGGGAGATATCCGTCAATATTCAATTTTGTACTGAGTGCTATGTTTTGCAAACAGGTCACTTATGATATTGTTGGCCTTAAGAGTTTACTAACTGTGGATTAAGACATTGACTGCATTTCAGAAGCACCTCCTTGCCTGTAAAGTGCTTTTAACACTACATAAAAGAAAGCCTGTGCTTTTTTTCTATTTCTGGCTAGTTTCTGATAATGGGGCCATTTTCCAATATGAAATTGATTACATTTTAAAATCGCCGATAAAAAGGAAAATGGTTTAGTCCTGGGCGCTCTATATGATGAGGGAATTTTTAATGGACCGATTTGTATTTTGCTTGATGCATAATACCGTTACAAGCTTGAAGATATTCATGAAAAGCTTTATTCAAGCAATTCAAATTTTAAACTATTAAAATGAATACCAAAAATGATTTCAAATAAGAATGACATGTCGAATCCTTCCCCCATTGTCTGTTTTCATGTCCTTATTTTTTGTTCTGGCTCACCTCACTTTTCCAACTTTTTTCCATATTAATAACAATTCTATTGCCTCTGCTTTGGAGATGGGACTGAGTTTAGGAAAATTGAATTTTCTACAGTTAAATTCTGGCTTAAAAAGCTGTAGGTGACTGGTGTAGGAAATGAAATGTATGACTCTGAAGCAGTTGGTAAGAGTTTGCATTTATATAGCATCCTAAGGATGTTACCAAGCACTTAATTGCCATTAACAACCAGTTTTCAAAGGCCATAGATAAAGTCTATTACTAGTTAATCCATCCTGCTGCTGTTGTAGCCAGGACAACAGATATGAATTACAAAAAGGTGAGCACACAAGTACAGTAAGCAATCAAGAAGCTGTTGGAACATTAGCCTTTATTATAAGGAGAAAGGAGTATGAAAGAAGGGAAATCTTGGTACAATTGCACTGGGCATTGTTGAGGCCGCACCTAGAGTGTCTGTTGAGGTTGGTTGGCTCGCCGAGCTGGTTTCTTGTTTCACAGATGTTTCGTTACCGTGCTGGGTAACATCCTCAGTGTAGCCTCCGATGAAGCGTCGATGTGTTTTCCCACCTGGTTTTTAAACTCTGGGGTCCGTTGA